GAAAGGAGGAAAGGAGGGAAGGGAGGAAGGGAGGAAGGGAGGGAGGGATTCCAGATGTGAAAGGCCCTGGGCATTTCCTCATGGAGAGAGCTTGGTGTGGTGTGGTGGAGGGCGGTGAGGATCTGGTTACAGGCAGTCTCAGCTTCCCAGGCCCACCAAGACCCCACATCCCATCTTCTCTGTCCTCCAAAAGCCGTGAAGAACAGCGAAGCAGGAAGGAAAACCTGCTTATCGTAGACTGGAAGGACTGCTTGACCCCTCAACACCCCATGTCTAAAAGCTTCCGAGTCTTGTCCTTTAGGCTGTTTATTTTGTTTGTTTGGTTTGATTTTCTGTCAGTTCTGGGGCTTGAACTCAGGGCCTGAGTGCTGTCCTTGAACCTCTTTGTGCTCCAAAGCTAGTGCTCTACCACTTGAGCAAAGTGACCCTTCTGGCTTTTTTTTTTTACTAATTTACTGGAGATAAGAGTCACAAAGGGCTGGGAAGTTGGCTTAGTGGTAGAGTGTTTGCCTAGCATGCATGAAGCCCTAGGTTCGATTCCTCAGTACCATATACACAGAAAAAATCAGAAGTGGTGCTGTGGTTCAAGTGGTAGAGTGCTCACCTTGAGCAAAAGAATTCAGGGACAGTGTCCAGGCCCTGAGTTCAAGCCCCAGGAGTGGCAAAAAAAAAGAGAGTCGCACAGGCTTTCCTCCCCAGGCTGGCTTTGAACTGTGATCCTCAGATCTCATCCTTCAGAGTAGCCAGGATTACAAGCATGAGCCACCGGTGCCCAGCACTAGGGTGTTTTGTTTTGTTGTTTTTGAGTCAGTCTCTCCGTAGCTCAGGCTGATCTAGAACTCATGATCCTTCAGCCTCCCTCCAGAGATCTGGGACCACAGACCCGTGCCTCCACCTTGGCTTCCGTGCGTGATTTCCAGCTGTCCACCTTTGCAAAGATACTTCCTTATAAAGTCTATGCAGCACAAAGTGCCTGACAGAGAAACGGGGCTGGGAAGCGGAGGATGGCAAGGAGGAAGAGCTCGCTGCGGTGTCTCCTACACAAAACCCACTGGCCAGGGGCGAGCTGGCCTCCCTGCCCGTGGTGGAGGCCCGGCCTATGCGCTGATGCAGAGAGGCCATGGCTCAGCCAGCGGAGGCCTCAGCTTGTGGGGAGGCTTGGGGTCCACCCAGGTGAGCAGTGGAGCCTAGGGCCCCAGGGGCAGGGCGCTGTCCGTGGTGCTGAAGGGACTGGTGCTGCTGTCCGTGGTGCTGATTTTGGATTCTCTCTCTCTCTCTCTCTCTCTCTCTCTCTCTCTCTCTCTCTGAGGCAGAACTCCCCCTCGCCCACCCTCCATAGGATGCTGCAGGCTGAGTTCCTTCAGGCCACCCTGGTCACCGGACATCTGGGAGCCTTGTGAGCCAAGGTCTGGGCGCACAGAGGACCAGGCCTTCAGGGGACAGGGCGGTGGCTGGACCTGCATGCTCATACAGGGCGTGGCCTGCCTGATGCTAAGTGGGCGTGGCCAGGAAACTGCAGAACCAATGGAGATTGAACTTGGCCTCCTGGCGTATGGAGCAGGACAAGAGGGGCGGAGCTTCCAAAGAGGTGGGGCCTGCCAAGGGTGCCAGGGCCGGCAGGGTGAGAACAGGGACAGGAAAAGGGGTCAGAGTCCACGAAGGAGGAGCCTGATAGGGGGTGGAGCCAGGAAGGGGCATGGCCAAAGCCTGGTGGGCGGGGCGATATAGAGGCATGGGACCAAGAAAGGGATAGGAATAGTCTGGAGGGGTGGAGCCTTCTGGAGGCGGGGCCAGTAGAGGGGCGGGGTTAGAATCAAAAGGTGGAGCCTGGAGAGATGGAGCTTGTTAGGGGCGGGGCCATAAAGGGACAGGGCCAGAGTCTGAAGGGTGGGGCCTGTTGGGGGTGGGACCAGGAGAGCAGCCAGCTCCAGGAAGGCTGTACCCAGCCAGTCCTGGGCACTCTGCCCCACAGCCCCCAGGTTCAGCACTTTCCACAACTTGCCCAGCGAGTGATCTTCCCTGTGAAAGGCCTGCCACAAAGACATCTGCAGATGTGTCATGAGTGGGGTCAGACCACAGGGCTGGGAGGGAGGTAGAGGGGGAGGCCAGGCTCGGGGTCCAAGAGATCTTGGCCACCTCTTGGCTGTCCTCAAGGCTGAACATGGACAGAAAGGCCAGGACAGAGATAGTGGAAAACACTGAGGTCCTACCAAAGATGAGAGAAGGAGACAAGTCCAGCCCACGATAATGGCAGCCCAACACCGGGAGGCTGAGGCAGGAGGTTCAAGATCTAGGAGGATCTCAGGTTCCAGGCAAATCTAGGCTACATAGGGAGATCCTATCACAGAGAGAGAGAGAGAGAGAGAGAGAGAGAGGGAGAGAGAGAGAGTACAGACAAAAAAAAGACAGGCCTAGAGCCCCCAGGGCCTCCGGCCAGGCGTGGAGTGAAGGGCAGTGGACACAGACAAGAGCTGCAGAGACAGCTACAAAAGCAACCTGCTTCCTGACATTGTAGGGCAGTGCCCAACCCTGAGGCAGGAAGCAAAGAGACAAAAAGCACTCCCGGTGGCTGCCAGTGGGGCAGGGGTGGACTCTGGAGTGGGGGAGAGGGAGCAGAGGGAGGGGAAGCCCACTTACCAGCTGAAAACATTGGAGGCCTTATTCTCCTCCAGCCACTACAGCACGTATCTTCAAGCCATCATCAAGACTGACAGGATGGGGGGGCCTGCCCTTGGAGGGGGTCATAGTGTAGTATCCCCTCCCACACTGAGTCTCTTCCATGGATGGACAGTATTGTGCCCTTGGAGCAATGTGTCTTCTATGCCCCCTGCCCGTGACAGACATCCTGGGGTTATAAGAACAAGAGCCTCAGTTATGCACTGCACAACTAACTCCAGGAAATCTCATTCACAAGACTACATGGGCATTTATTTATTTAAATATCCATTCATTCATTTTGGTCAGTACTGGGGCTTGAACTCAGGGCCTGGGTTCTGTCTCTTAGCTTTTCCCCTTAATGTTCTCGCTACACCATTTGAGCCACAGCTCCATTTCCAGATTTTTTTTTCCAGTCCTGGGGCTTGAACTCTGGGCCTGGGCGGTGTCCCTGAGCTCTTTTGCTCAAGGCTAACACTGTACCACTTGAGCCACAGAGCCACTTCTGGCTTTCTCTGTGATTAATTGGAGGTAACAGTCTCATGGACTTTCCTTCCCGGGCTGGCTTTGAACCTTGATCCTCAGATTTCAGCCTCCTGGGTAGGTAGGGTTATAGGAGTGAGCCACTGGTGTCAGGCTTCTATGTGAATATTTATTATTACCTCTGTTTTCCAACAGAGGGCACTAAAGAGTCTGAGAAAGGGACATTTTTCTATTTACTTATTTTCCCCCCTTTAATCTCCAGAATGAGAGACTAGAAGACCAGAGAAGGACTTAAACTTGTGAACACTCCAAGCAGGCCACCAAGCAGGGCAGAGGGACACGGAGAGGAGGTCCCCCAGCGCCATAGATACCAGGCTCTCCTCACCCACTTACCTGTCTCCTGTCCACAGTTCTCCCTGTGTCCTGGGCAAACAGAAAGGGAACATGGGCAAAGAAAACGTGGCGAAGCAGCTGAAGGAATTCTCAGAATACATAGGCAACCATGGCTGTGAGTCCTGAGACCCTAAGATCTCTGGGAAGGAGTCTTCCAGAAGGCAAGGCTCCTGGGTTCATCCTCAGATAAAAGATACAGAATAACACAGCATAGTAGACCCCCAAATCTGGACATTCGTTCCTGCTCCAACTTTCAGCAGGGGCCCGTGAACAAACAACCTACCCGGATACCTATCACTTTCTTTTTTTTTCTTTTTTTTTGGGGGGGGGGTCCAGTCGTGGGGTCTGAACTCTGGGCCTGGGCGCTGTCCCTCAGCTCTTCAGCTCAAGGACCTGTCACTTTCTTACACAGTTCTGATCAGAACTCTCATTGGCCTCCTTTGTGCCTTTCCAGCACCCAAGTTGAGTCCTACACCAGGAACCTTTGCACTCACTGCCCCTCTACCAATTACACGCCTTCATTTAGTTATTTACTTTGGTGTTACTGGGGGTTGAACCCAGGGCATCCTGCTTGCTAGGCTGCAGCTCTACCAGTGAGCCACACCCCCACCTCTAAGCCACGCCTCCAGGGCTCCACCTCAGAGCCATGCCCCTACTGCTAAGCCAAGCCCGCTACTGCTTAGCCCTGCCCTTACATCTGAGCCACGCCCCCAGCATTGAACCAGGCCCACGGCTGGACCACACCTCCATACTAAGCCACGCCCCTGCCGCTAAGCTATGATTGTACTGGCTAGCCATGCCGCCTACTGCTGAGCCACGCCCACTTCTTAGCCACGCCCCTACTGCTAAGCTAGCCTCTTGCTGAGCCAAGTCTAGGACTCTTAACCACGCCCTCTACGGCTGAGCCACGCCCCCACGCTGAGCCACACAGCCACCCAGAGTATGTATTTGGGACATTGCAATTTTCCCGGTTCATTGAATTCCAGACCTTAAATAGGTTTGTTTACTTTCGCACAGACCTGTATTCCTGGAAAAAATAGAATGCAGCAACTGATTTCACGAAGCTGGAACAATAGCGTTCTGTCCTGCAAGGAACGTTCCTCAGACGTCTGGCCTCCCAGGGGACGTTCTGTAACCAGCAAACCCAGCGCGCTTCTCAGCGTCTCGGCTGTCATCTCCGATCTGTTCCCAGAGGTTCATCCGTGTTATTGTCCTTTCAAAAAAAAGGGGGGGGGGGAATATGCAGTCGAGACAATAAAGGTGAGGGTGGAGGTTTACACAGCTCAAAAGCTGGGGCTGGGGGCGCGGCTTGATGCCGGGCTGCGACTTCGAGTCGGGGGCGTGGCTTTGTGGGGGCGTGGCTCGTGACCCTTGGGCGTGGCTTATCTATAGTACCAAGAATTCAAACCCAACTTTAAAGGAGGAGGAGGAGAGAGGGAAGGAGGGAGGGAGAAAGAAGAGGGAGGAAAGGAAGGGTTGGTTCAGCAGTACTTTACTAACACCACTAGGCGCTCATGCACACGCCAGTCTGTGTTTCATAGACATGAATGTGTATATGAATACATGTATGCATGTTATCAACCTTAATAATATACATTCTATGCAATACATATACATTTACGTTGCAGTGCTGAGGATGGAAACAAGGTCCTCATGCTAAACAAGTACTTTACCACTGATCTAAACATCTTTTAGTCTAGTTTACCTTTCTTTCTGTCTTGTATTTGTTTGTTTGTTTGTTCTGCAATACTAGGAACGGATCTCAGGACCTTGTATTTGGCAGGCAGGTGCACTACTACCTGAACCACGGCCTTCAGCCCCTTTTCTGTTGCTTATTTACTCATCACACAAAATAACGAAAAGATGGATCAAATCGATTCCATCTGTAACTCAGTCATACTGAAGTGTTATCGGCTGCCTTTCTTACTGGTGACTGCATTTACTCTATTCCACAGCTCCTTATAAAAACAGGTGAAGCTGGGTGCTGGTGGCTCACACCTGTCATCCTAGCTACTCAGGAGGCTGCGATCTGAGGATCATGGTTCAAAGCCAGCCCGGGCAGGAAAGTCTATGAGATTCTGGTCTCCAATTAACCACCAGAAAACCGGAAGTGGCACTGTGGCTCTAGTGGTAGAGCACTAGCCTTGAGGCTGAAGAGCTGAGGGACAGCGCCCAGGCCGAGTTCAAGCCCCACAACCAACAACAACAACAAAAATAGTGCTGAGGTCTGAATGCAGGGACTCATAATTGCTAAGCAGGTGCTCTATTACTTGATCCTCTCTGCTGACCTCTTCGTCATTGATTACCTCCCCCCCCTTCTATCCTCTGATTTGTGCTTCTCAGATTCGCTGGGATGACAGACATGCTCCACTGTGCCCAGCCATTGGTTGAGGTGAAGTCTTTCAAACTTTTTTTTTCTTTTGTCCAGTCTAGCCTCAACACTGATTCTAGATCTCTATTTCTCAAGTAGTTAGGATTACAGGTGTGAGCCACCAGCAATGGGCTATTCTTAATGTATTTATTGTGTGGATGCCAGTCCTAGGGCTTGAACTCAAGACCTGGGAGCTCAAGACCAACGCTCTACCATTTGTGCCACGTCTAGCTTTTTGCTAAATAGCTGTAGATAAGAGCCTCACAGACTTGTCTGCCTAGGCTGCTTTCAAACTTAAGTAGCCATGATTACAGGCGTCAGCTACTAGCACAGCAATAGCTTTCTTCTTCTTCCAGTGCTAAGACTTGAACTCAGAGCTTGGGCGCAGTCCCTGACCTTTTTTGCTCAAAGCTGGAGCTCTACCACTTAAGTCACAAACTCCACTTCTGGCTTTTTAATAGTTAATTGGAGATAAGTGACTTTTTGATCAGGCTGGCTTTGAACCCTGATCTTCCGATCTCAGCCTCCTGAGTAGCTAAGATTACAAGTGTGAGCCACCAGTGCCCAGCTTTATTTTTTGGTGCTTGGCTTTAGTTCTCTCTCTCCCTCCCCCTGGCTCTCTCTCTGTCTCTCTTTTTTAGTCAGTTGTGGAGCTTGAACTCAGGGGCTGGGCACTGTACCTGAACTCTTCAGCTCAAGGCTAGTGCTTTGCCACTTGAGCCACAGCACCACTTCCAGTTTTCTGGTGGTTGATTGGAGTCTCACAGACCTTCCTGCCCAGGCTGGCTTTGAACCATGATCCTCAGATCTCAGCCTCCTGAGTAGCTAGGATTTACAAGCATGAGCCACCAGCACCCCAGCTTAGCTCTCTTTTTGAATGTCACAAAATCCTACAGACATATGGCTACACTGTAATGTGTTGATAGAAGTATACATTGTGTCATGATCAAAGTAGAGTCATTAGTGTCTCCATCTGCAGCAAGCACCATTTCTTCGAAACATGTATCATTTCTCTGTGCAGACACAATTTCAAATCTTCCCCTCTGGCTATGGCAAAATAGCCCAGCCCAGCCTTAACTAGTCACCTTATACTTTCCCAACCATACTACAGGACTTCCTGTCCCTTTCACTACTCTTTACTTCACTGAGCAGAACTTCTCAGTATGAGTGTGTGTGTGTACACGTGTGCACACATGTACGTGTTTTTGTGTCTACACGCATGCACACACCAGTACTGAGGCTTGAATTCAGGGTCTGGGTTCTGTCCCTGAGCTTTTGTGCTCAAGACTAGAACTCTACCATCTGAGCCACAGCTCCATTTTTTTATTTTAGGCTGGATAATTGAAGATAAGAGTCTTCTTCATGGAGGAAGTAGCACTGTGGCTCAAAGTGGTAGAGCACTATTAGACTCGATCAAAAGAGCTCAGGGACAGTGCCCAGGCCCTGAGTTCAAGTCCCATGAGCAACCAAAAATAAGAAAGAAAAAAAACAGGCTGGCTTTGAACCACAATCCTCAGATCTCAGCCTCCTGAGTAACTAGGCTTACAAACATGAGCCACCAGCACCTAGGGAGATTAACATTCTTAACTTCTACAAATAAGTGAGACCCTACGCTTTTTTGGCTTCTGAGGCTGGGTTTATTTCACTTGACTTAGTTACCACTCCAGTCTCGTCCAGCTGGTTGCAAACAAGAGAATTTTTGCCTTTTCCTGGCTGAGTAGTATTCCCCTGTGTGTATGGTTTCCATTTTCTTAATCCATTCATCTGTTCATGGAGCCTGAAGTTGAATGAGCATCTGTTGGCAATTTTGAATAGTGTAGCAATAAACAGGCTTATCGATGTCTCTTCTACAGATTAATTTCCTTTTTATTGGGTATTCAACCCAATAATGATTGACCAGTTCCATTACTGGGTACATATGGTAATGTATTCTTGCTGTGTCAGTCTCCTGAGTTCAGGGATTACAGGCATGCACCACTGTGCTTGGATCTGTTTTCAATTTTTTTTCATAAGAGTATAGTATATGGACACCATCATTTTGAATATAGCTTTCAAATTATCTGGGAATGGGACTTTAGGGCTTGGGGGTGTTTGTTTTGTTGTTATTGATAGGGGTACAACATTGGAGGAAAAAAATAGATTCCTTTTCCTCAGTGGATTTGGCCACAACAGACGGCATTTTAGCAATGTCTGGAGACATTTTTTTTGGTTGTCGTGACTGGGAGAAGGGACAGCATTGGGGGGTGGGGTGCAGCCCGTCCCCCCTCTTACAGAGATCCATCAGCCACAGGGCTCCAGCTGCAGGGCTCTGTCCCAAGCCCCCAGAGTCTCTCCTGCGTCTTTCCACCCTCTATTCTTCACCCCCACACACACTAAAACCTCAGACCCCACTGCACAAACCTCCTCCTTGTCTCCAAGAAGCCATCTCCAGCTGTGCCCCCCCCCAGGCTGCGCGCTGGCCATCGTCTGCTGATCCCGGAATTCGGAGATTTGCCTCTTCTCCATCATCGCCAGCACCCCGGTGTGCCTGAGCTGTGCAGGCCCCATAACCATGAAGAATCGATTCGCAGCTGGGCTGGGTGCCTCATGTCTGTCTGTCTGTCCGTCGGTCTTCCCAGATACTCAGGAGGCTGCGATCTGGGGATCGTGGTTTGAAACCGGCCGGATCAGACTCCTTCTTTCCAATTAGGCAGCAAAGAGTCAAAAGTGGAGCTGTGGCTCAAGTGGTAGAGCGCCAGGCCTTCAGAAGGGGGAAAAACACACTCCAGAGGGACAGCGCTCGGGCCCTGAGTTCCAGCCCCCGGACCCCCCCCGAAAAAAGAACGAAATTAACTAAGGAGCACAGGATCCCAACCACGGGGTGGAGAGGAGTTCGTGACCCTGGCCAGCCCCCTTTTACAGGGCGGTAAACTGAGGCGCGGCAGTCCTGGTGAGGGGCTCAGAGCCTGAATGGGATGGAGGCGGGGAGGGGCGGGGCCGCTCTCGGGGATGGGGCCACTCTCGGGGGCG